GGAGATGACAAAAAATCGATAACGCGCGCGCATAAAAAGACAAAGACAAGACGCCATTTGGTATTTCCTTCATTTATTAGAGTGGTTAGCCTGTGTTTCGACTCTGCCCTGAATATGAATGTGCACGTCGAAAGATTGGCAAATACGACAGGAAATTTGAAGTAGTAATTTCTTCAACTTTCTGGATTATTTTTACATTTATTTTCCAACGGCTTTCGACCTACGACGTCATCTTGAGGCAGATTTGAACATTTGAACATAAGAAAAGCACAAGAAAACGTTAGCAAACAGCGTAGAGCGCGCGCGTACTATGCGCGTGCAGAAAATCAAACGATCAAATAAATGATAATCATTGGATGGTATTTTTAGAATAGATTCTAAAAATAGCATCAAAGTGTGCACATGATGGGGCACGGGGATTCCTTCTCTTAGTTCATATTCTCTTGGTTATATGACATCGCGGGTCATTGCAGGGTTTAGAATATCGGGTGATAGACACTGGATTGGTATGAAAGCATCTTCTTGGGGACAAGGATAACGAAATGTAAAAGAGTAATTTTTTTGGGCGCTACCCTAGTGACGCGTTTGATCAGCTGTAGCTCCCGTCCCAGTGCTTCCCTCGGCTAGATTTTTCTACACTCGCCTACACTCGATATGGAATAAACATTCTAACAAACTTTGGCCGAATTTTGGTCGTAATATTATCACGCGGGAGTGATGATGCCGTCTAAATACTGTCTAATAAGATCGGTACTGTATTTTATTTGAATTTCAAGAAATTTGGCTTGCCCGATTTCGATTGAGAAGGATACCTTATAATTTTGCTCGTTTTCCCTCAAAAATGAAATCGATTTTAACTTCTGAATGAACTTCATCATGAAACTCTGTGATATTTATATTTATATTTTTTCATTGTTGATAGCTCAGCCAATTATCAGTAGCATCTCCAAGTTTGAAAGAATCTAAGGGGCTCAAATAGATATCTTTTGCAATTAAACTGCAAAGACTGTGACTGGTAATTTGTCTTTACATTTCTAAAATCGTCATTTTTTGGTATAATTTAGGTGCACGGTTTGATGATGGTGCTGGAGGGGATAATGAAGTACAAAGGACTATGTTAGAATTGATAAATCAACTGGATGGTTTTGATCCAAGGGGCAACATCAAGGTCCTCATGGCTACTAACAGGTATTGAGTGTAGCTATTTGTCGAAGGTCGAGGGTAAAAAGTCGATGGTACCAAATATATCATTTAATTTAATTTTTTCTTGTTCTTCTGAATTCTTCTATATTTTTTCCTATAACTAAAAATAAACTAGACATTGATAACACATTAATTCCATGATATTTTTTTATAATTTATTTTCTTATTGATTTAATTATTTTTTTCTTATAAATTCGTGTTTTGTTACTCCTTCAGTTTTAATGTAAATTTGCCTAGGTCTAGTTTACCGTGGGGTAATTTACAAAGTTGACAGCGGTTACACAGACCACAATCCCTCGAAGAAATGTTTGATCGTGTCATTTGGCGCGTAAATCGAATGTCTTCCCGCCAGCAACAACATGAATATCCCTCGAGATTCAACTTGCAATTTGTCTTTTCTGATGCTGCTCCTTTTTCATCGACCGGCTTTATATTTACCAATTCATTATGTCACGAAGGGGAAGTGGGGGAGTCATACTTTCTCAACGGACACAAAGATTCTGGTCGTTCTTTAGTTGCTTTCTTCTTCTTTATTTTCTGCTGCTTGTAGTACTTTACAATGAACTCATCTGTACTCTGGTTATGGCTCTTGACTAGCTGCTACTTCACTGTGCACTGTGCTATCAACTGCACTGAACTCTGAGTGAGCTCGTATTCAAGGGCTAAGCTCACGCAATACGTCACATAACTGGTTTATACTAGGTCAAACTAGATTAGACCAGTTAGGTCAAGTATGACGTAAGAGCTTGAGACAGGTGTTGACTTGAGGAAAAAGTACGAGCACTCAGTTCTAAGAGCTGACCCTGAAAATCTGTCGATGGTGTTCGCTAGCTCAACTAAAAGAGAACAGATTGTCCTAAAGATATTTTAAAGTTTCACATAAGATGATTCTAAACAAGAGAACAGAAAATGGCTTAGGAAGTAGTTGTTTGTATAGTAAAGAACCCTGCACTTTTCCAGTACGCATGCGCAAAGTTGTACATGATCAAAACCCGTTTTTACTGGAAAAGTACAGTAGATTTGCAGCTTTTGTTTACTACAAAAAGTACTTCCCAAGGCTATGTCAATGAACAAACATTCTTGACCCTGGAGTTAAAGTGTCTATCACCCTTCTGACAATACTCTCAGTGTTGATTCTACATGGGGTAAGATGTGGAATGACCCGAAGATATTTCATAGTTTGAGTGCGGCTTCTTGAAGTTATAAAGGTTTTTCCATGCCATATGCTAATGTTGTGACGTATGAGGAGGCATTTATAGTTATTTGTTGTTCCTCGTAACTCGAAACACCGGCTTCTATGTGAAAACTAACTTGCAATAATTTCGATAAGAGCAATGGGAAAGACAATGACGCATTCCAAATTTCATTTATGTGTGCCAGGAATGTTTTGTATATTAAATTATTACTTCTCATACGTCACAACATTAGCATATGGCATGGAAAAACCTTTATAATTTCAAGAAGCCGCACTCAAACTATGAAATATTTTCGGGTTATTCTACATCTTACCCCATGTATAATCAATACTGTGAATGTTGTCAGAAGGGTGATAGGCACCTTAATAGACAAGACATTATGAATGACTTACCATTGGTCAATGACAGATTGTCTATTGACAAGTCATTAAAATAAAAGGTTTCCCTTACATTTCTTATTTACAGATAACAAGAGTTTGTACACAAATATAGAAACCCACCCACAAATCTTATTGTCAAATATTTGAACAAGCAAATCACGTCAAAAAATGTCGAGACAGGACAAATTATACATAGCGGGTAATTTATTAATACCTACTACCATCCTTCTCTCTCTCACATCAAAAGGAAAAACCCCCTTTTTTACTGGGCTAGTGTTCATTTCGAACAGCACTTATATGTCCTTAACTAGTGAACAACGGAACTACCTAAACAGTTTGGACTTGAACCTTATATTCAGTCAGTCTTAAATCGAGAACAGTGTATGTAAGTGCCACGATCGAGTGGTTATATTTTCTTCTACGATCCTGGACAAATTTATTTGATACAAAGCGTCGTCCAAGCGCGCGCGAAAACAATTTTACCGTGCCCACCCTTCTTCGCTGTTGCCCAGAATGATATCTATGCGTTCTGTAGTGATTATCATTTTTGATAATCGGCGTTATTGTAATGAAGGCCGGGTTAGTAGGCGAAGGCGTGTTGTTAGTTGATATTAATTTGTTTAGAATTGTACGTACTTTTATTCATTCCTCATGTACATGTATAGATCAAATAACAAACTTTCAGTTATTAATACGCTACTACGTACATTTTCGTTTTTGTTTTGTTTTCTTTTCTTTTTTCTTGTAATTTTATCAATCAAAACTATCTGAGCTATTGGAACGACCTAAGAACTCGGAATTAACAAAAATTTTGTAAAACGTAGAAAAATTTACATCAATCGCACAAGTATAAGTTGTCACTATTCAGCGAAAATTAACTTGGTTTGATGAAAACACGAATTTATAAGAAAAAAAGGGAATTATAAAAACAGAGGAAGGGCTCGAACTTGTCATTGTTGTCATTATTAAATGTTTCGTTATTATAAATGAATATTATTGATATTATAAATATTGGAATTAATGCGTTATCAATGTCTAGTTTATGTTAAGCTATAGGAAAAATATAGAATAATTCAGAAGAACATGAAAAAATTAAATTTAATGGTATATTTGGTATCCTCGACTTTTTACCCTCGCCCTCGACATAGTACCCTCGACCCTCGACAAATAGCTTCATTTTAATAGCTACATTTTGATAGCTTCATTTCTTAATGACCTTTATTGGCTTTCGTTGTAAATACAGTAAATGAGATACTTTACATCACAAAAACAGTAAACACATAGAAGAGTGATTTTACTTTGGCCTTGAAAGAATAGTCAACGTAACATATAACAGTAGTATTAATTTGACGCTTAGTCATCTTATGTAGTGTGACTTTACTTTGTTTCGCGGGTGAACCGAGTAAAATCACACCATAAATACTACTACTACTACTACTATTACCACCATCACCACACCATTACCATTGCTGTTTTATAAACAGCAGCTACATGTAGTTAGAGAGTCTACTTACTTCATTTCACTTATGACAGACCTGATACACTAGATCCTGCTCTAATGCGCCCAGGACGTCTAGATCGCAAGGTGGAATTTGGTTTACCTGACCTAGAGGTAGGGTTTAATTTAATCATAATGCCCTACCTTTATTCTATATCAATGTCAATTCATGTTTTAGGAAAAGCTGGTCTCAGTACGAGCTAACGCGGATCTAACATTGCTTATCTGCTACTTGGTTAGCTAGGTAAATTTATAGTAGGTTTATGACAGCTGTCATCAATGATATCTCAGATATTATCACTGAGCTATGATTGGATAGTAAAATAAATGAGTAGATTCGTATGAGTTCGATGGGTATGAAAGGAATGCAAGTATATAGTTTGCAAATAATGTTATCAAAAGAGGATATTCTTTTCAAACCAATTTTAAGTAATTCCATTATAAAAAATCAAAGTCACTAATATGCAGATAGACTTTCGCAAAGTTCTTAGTCTCCGTATTACTTCGCGCGCGCTGAATAATGCACAGGCAGGCCAACCAGAACCAAACGCGTTGGACCTCTCGATTTCAACAAACACATACTTATCGCTTTGTGTGTATCGGAGAGGTCGGCTTGGAGCAAGTCGTAATATTCACGTTAGATTTTTTTCCTAATCTTTTTTTCTTTCTTTAGGGAAGAGCACACATTTTCAAGATTCATGCACGTTCAATGAGTGTAGAAAGAGATATCAGATACGAGTTGCTGGCGAGACTTTGTCCAAACAGCACAGGTATGACTATCCTGTGCTCGTTTATGTTAGGGTTATGTTTAAAACTTTAAAACGGTTTTTAGACTGTGTTTTCACTGCAAGGCGAGAAACCAGAGAAAATCGGTAGTGAACTCAGTGTATCAACTCGAAAAGTCAGTTTTCAATATATCATGAAAAAAATATACTATAAAACCTCTACATGTTAGCTGCCTTCTCGGTACAAAACGATTAATATGTTTTACCTGATTTACTACTGTTATTCAGGAGCTGAAATCAGAAGTGTTTGTACAGAAGCTGGAATGTTTGCTATTCGTGCCAGAAGAAAGGTAAACCCCCAATCATGGAAGTGTTATATTGTTTTAGTTTGATTTGACATATCATTGTGTGTCCAGCCAGGCTCTACAGTGTGTCTATTTTTAAAATGCCTTCATTTAGATTTGGCATTGCGCGTAGTCGCTGAAAGTTGAACTTTACTAGCATAGGGAAGTCGTACGATCTCCAGTACAATCCGGAATTTATAGGAACGAGTGATGCTTTGAAAGCCTTTAGGCGTGTCCAGTTTGAGAACATTCAAAACATCACGAGTATCTATAAATAGACCTCTTCGGCTCCGACGTAATGTTTTCCCATTTCAAACCACATGTCATTCCCTAGAGTATCATTTCTTTGTTTAAGGTTTGCGCTCGGTTGCACATGAAAAGACACATGAATATGGATACAGCTCAAACAAAGAATCTTATTCTCAAGGGAATTATGACACGTGGTCTGAAATGGGAAAGCATTACCCCAAGCCGAAGAGTTCTATTGATGGTTTTCAACCATTCCCAAGAGAATTAAATAACAAAAGACACGGCGGCCACGTTGGAGGATATAACAAAAGAATTCATTGACAATTCTTTTGTTAAAGTCCTCCAAAATGGCCATCGTGAAAACCATCAATTCCGAGTTGTACGAGAAGATTGCGTGTGTTTTTTTTTTTGTTTATAATACACTCAAGAAAATTGAGCAACTTAATTGGAACTCTACAGAGTACGATTTGTATAGGAAATCGCACGATCTCGAGTACAATTTGGAAATTAATAGACACGAGTAATGTTTTGAAAGTTCTTGTAATTGCACGAGCCTTTAGGCGAGTGCAATTAAAGAACTTTCAAARCATTACGAGTGTCTATTAATTCCAAATTGTACGAGAAGATCGTGCGATTTTTTGTTTATAGTTCACTCAACAAAATTTCAGTAAAAAATTCGAAGCGACGCCGTTCATCTTTATCTATTTGGCGGCCGATTTTCAGTCCATCGCGCAACTGAAATGCATAAAAAAGATTAGTTCTTACGGCTTTAAAATTTTATTTATGTTTTTTAAGTACGAAATGATAGAAAGTAATTGTTTTGACATTATTTTGGCCGTGTTGCCATAGCGACTTAATTCGGTACTCCAACGGAGTACAATTAACGGTATAATTGTACTCCTCTCGACCAATCAGAGTCGAGTAATTTTGTTGAGTGTACTATAAGGGGTTTAATTGTACTCCTCTTTTCCAATCAGAATCGAGTAATTTTGTCGAGTGTTTACAAAGAATTTTATTACACTTATTAGACGACTATGAGTAATGAACTTCATTTTGAAACAGCATCTGGCAAAGTTGAAAGGAAAATACAAACATAGTAGTACAAAATTACAAATTTCGAGTGAATTCAGTGTTTTCAGTAGAAGCCGGCAACCGGCAGATTCCGCCGTCTACTCATGCTAATTCGGCCGCCTACTCAGGCACTTCCCAATGTAATTGTAAAACGTGATTAAAGTGCTTTATCTCTAAAATAAATTTTAATCCAATCTTTGTTGCTTTATGGGGCTAAATGTAATTTAGGCAAAGTTAAAACCACAACTAAGCCTGCTAGCCTAAGCACCGTTGGCCAGCGGACCATCCACGCTACGCATGCGCCCGAGCTCCGGGTGGCGTGTCCACTAACTGGCTGGTAGCTTTGTATGCCATCTTTGCATGCTTGCCATCGTGTAAGTTGCCCCTCCCTCCCTCCTCTAAATGGCTAACTTTGGTTATCATAGGTAAATATTATCTCCACTGTTTACAGTGTGACAGGTACCAGCGTTGGGTTGTGGCCCGGTTGCCATGGTTACCTCCTTGCTGGGGGATATACTCGCGTAACAGGATCCCGCACTGGTACCTAGCCCAAACTCATTAGTTGATGAGTTTTAAACTATGAAAACTGCAACGCAATCGAAACTACGTTGTCCGCCATCTTGAAAAGTATGCCTTGATTACATGCTCCAGTGATTTCCGGTTTACCGCCTATTTTTTAACCGCCTACCAAAAATTTTATTGACAACCCTGATATTACACGGTTGAAGCCAGCCATAAACGCCACAGGAAACCTGTTACCCAAATCACGGTAAGACCATTCTCGTTCCCAGAGCCTGCGCTATTGCCAGCCAGCGGAAGGAAACGAGCGAAGACTGACTACTAAGGACACTTGAATATCCGTCATCTTTTTTCGCTTCTTATGTACATATTTTTTATCGAATTGTTCATTAATATCCAATTCAGTAAACTGGAATGAAACTCGGTTAGTAAAATGACTGTTCGAGAAAATAATAACATGAACGTCTAGTTTATCTATCGTAAACATGTTAGACAATTTGTCTAATTTGCAGAAAAAAATTCCGAGGACTGGCAAAATTTGAAGAGGCCGATATGCCGAGTCCCAATTTGGCAGTCAGAGGAATTTTTTGAATTCAATTATTTCCAAATTGGACAGACATATATAATTATATCATTCCAAACTATGCTAGACTGATTCCATAAGTCATAGTTTTCCCTCGAAATAATTCGAATGGAAACGATCCAAATGAATCTTTAATTTGGATAGGATTTAACGGGGGATTTAACGCGTAGCTCAACAATTTTAACAGCAAATATTTTTCTGTGTACCCTGAACAGGGCGGGGAATTTAACACTACATAAATGTTAAATTCCCCGCCCCTTCTCGGAGGTCGAGGGGTGGGGGTTTCAATTGACTAGTGCATAAAAACAAATAAAAGAAAACGAAGAAACATAGAAACAAACAAATGAGGGAGGGAGGGAGGAATAGGAAGGAAGGAAGGAAAAGCAAGGAAAGAATGGAAGGAAGGAAGGAGGAAAGAAAGGAGGGAGGGAGGAAGGGGGGAGRAAARMAAAAGGYCCCCCMACCCCCCCCCCCCCCCTAAAACAAAGCAAGGTCAAACCACAAGCGAATAATTTTTTTTCTCACAATTAGAAATTACTGCTCTGAAATTCAAAAGATTTGTCCTCATGAAAACCCATAAAATCGACTTGACACTTATGAAGTGTACCCTCGAGCAGAGTCTTCTTTTTACCTTCTCCCCAGGCGAGAGTGGTTAAAGGAAATTGCTCGTCTCAGTCTCCATTCCGATTCCACAATCCCGGTCATTCCCCATTACCTATTTTAATAAGATCCACTTCGAAGGCACTCACCCCTCTTTTATAGCTAAATGAAAATGTACAAAAATTTGCAAAAAGTCACCGAAAAGCCATATGAAAATAAAAAACCGGACCGGATTGTCCCGAAATTCGAATCTACCTAAACGAATGTTGTAACTGCTACCATATTGTAAATTGCTAATAAGAGGTGTTTTTTTAAAAGGAAATGCATTTTCGGGTTTATTAAGATATGTAATTGTATTTGTTGGTGCTGTAAATATGTTTCTTCAGAATTTGGTGATTTTATCCCTTTGCTCTGTCTGTCTTTCTGTTTTTTGTTTGTAATGTTTATGTTTTTAATAGCGTTCTTTCTTTTTTTCCAAGGTTGCCACAGAAAAAGACTTTCTCGATGCTGTGAACAAAGTCATCAAAGCCTACGCCAAGTTCAGTGCAACTCCAAGATACATGACTTACAACTAAATATTCTTGTAAATCAACAACTTTCGCAACTAACAAATGGAAAGAAATGCAAACAATAAAATAAAGGTTAGGTTTGAAATATTGTAAAAGCTTCCCTTTTTCCCCTTATCACCTTAGTATTGCTTTGACATAGAGTGCAGCGCTATCAGGTTTCGTGCTACTCCTCAAATTCCTTGAAAACTCCATTTATTAAATTTTAGTTTGAAGGGCTCTTGGAAAGCTCTTGAATGCTAGCATCGTTGCTCAAACTCCTTGAATTTATACTCGATTTTACCACTAACGTAATTTTTCTCATTTTCTGATTGGTCGAGAGCCGTCTTAAATGAGAAAATATACCAACAAATTACAATGGCGCACGTGCGCGGAGCCAGCGTGCTCTACGAACCGTTTTTCTTTCAAACCGTTTTTGCGCGTTTTTTTTTTTTTCTTTTTGCAGTAAAAAAATTCAATTTTTTTTTTGTGCATCATTACTACTGATTCGTCTCTTCTTGTTTGGTTGTTCCATGGATACAAACCATGTAGCCGACT